CCCCCCCCCTGCCCCCCCCCCCCCCCCCCCCCCCCATGGACACCAACGTACCCGCCCCACCAACATCATCGACTTCACGATACCCCCTCCCGCTGCCAAACACCCATGAAAACCGTTCTCCCTCCCCCACCCAGGCGGGTCCTTTGTAAGATCTCGGAAACAGGTCGCGACCAGTCACGGACGACGAATCGTTACCGAGGTAGAAAAACTTAGGCGGGGAGGATGTGGGGGGGGGGGGGGAACGAAGCCAAGGATGTAGGAAGTGGAGGGAGAAGGCTTCACAAGGGCGCGGGTGTGATTTTCGACCTCGAATCGCGCGTTCCTTTTTTTCCCCTCTCTTCTTTCTCTCACTAGCACTCAACTTCATTATCTCGAACAGGAGAGGCGAAGGTCTTATGCAAACGGTCGCCCTTCCCATTTTCTCCTGCGAAGAAGGACGGTTGGAAGGAGCCGCCTCGGCGCGGTCTACACACCCGTGACGTCACTCGCGACCCTGCATTACGTTCACGAAGGAGGTCACTAATAGAAGGCCTTTCCTTCCAGGAAATCATTTAAAATCCGCCATTAAAAAAAGAAAGAAAAAGGAAACAAAAAACCCTTACGAAGGAAACCGAACACATGCACGCTTAGACAAAACAGGCCCATTGAAATGGCAGCCTACATAATACCGGACGTGAAAGGGCAATCCCGACCTAGTAGAAATACCAAGCACATTCCGCGATGAAAAGATTTCCTAAGACCGCGGACAAAGCGACATACCTGCGTGTAGCACCAGTTTTCGGCGACAGGGAGACTGGAGTCGGAACCCGTGGGGGTGGGGCTGGGGACGCGGGCATTGAGGGCCATCTTGATCGCCCCGCTGCTCCCCACCACAGCTCCACAGCCGCCTCCTCCGCCTCCACTGCCGACCACCAGCCCGACCGCTGCCGAGGATGCCGGCTCCACCGTCACCGTCCTGTGGTCACCTCCTCCTCCACCGCTCAACACCCCGTACGTCCTTGGTAACCCTGTGGCAGATCCCACGTGTCACGGATGCCTCGCACACGCGCACACTGTGCACTGAGATGCGGTCCCACCGCAGGATTCAGGCGCACTTGGGCGGCACCTTCAGGCTCCGCTCGCGACGGCTCGAAAGGGGCTCAACAATCTCTAATTTCATTGCTCTAAATAAATCTTCCAAATTGGGTTGTAGATGTTTTTAGCTGCTGATGATTTTAAGCCCACTCTGTGCATGTCAGAAACAAAGTATACTTATGGCAGTAAAGTTTGATTGATTACTCAATTTTATTTTCTTACAAATACATATAAATCTATTATAATTGTGTTCTTTCACTTTTTATTTTTTCTTTAATATTTTTTTTTACGGCATATTGATTCTTTATGCTTTTACACCCAAGAATGCTCATTTCCTCAGTCGAGGAAATTTAAAAAATAATTTTCCCTATTAATACCAAATAATAGCAAATTTCCTGCGAAGTCGCCCCAACACTCACCGGCTATTTTCAGGTCGTTTGGGACAGCCGTGGACAGGGCCGTCGACCTATTCGCCCAAGGAGGAAGAATCTCGCAGGCACGAATGATGATGTTCCGAGTGTTCAGATAGCAATAACCTCGACTACTGTCTGGAGCGTTGTTGCCGTTGAACGTCGTCGTTGTCGACCACAAGGAACGATCCGGGGCACTGGATGATAGATCGATTTTTCCCTCTTTCCCACCGGGAGCGACCAAGCTATATAAATGATGAATCACCACTGAACACTCTCAACATATCCTCCTCGGGATAACACTCCAGAAAATTTTTCTGCCGTCCGGAAGGATCACTCAGTCATGAACACTATGACTCCGCGACACTCTCCGGGAAAAGCCTGAAAAATCAAGAAACACACCTCGTGAATCGCTCAGGGTCGACCCCCACTTAAAAATAAAAATCTAAGTTATCCTTGACGCCTGGATCGCACAGATGTTACTCGAAAATTCGGAACACAGGAGGTCGATTCGACGACTGCTGAAAAATCTAGGACCGACATTCCCAAAGATCCAACGTGACCAATCTGGGGCAAGACTGGTTTGTGAAGTCCCCCCCCCCCCCATCCCGCCGAGTGAGAGTGAAAGACTTTCACACAAACACTTCCGTATGAATGAAAAGAAAGAAAGAAAGACCGTCTCAGAGACATATTTCGAAAGGAGCGCTTTCTCAATCGAGAGAGAGAGAGGCCTTCCAAATGTCCCCCCCTCCCCACTCGGCATGGCTTTCACTTCTCTTTCTCTCTCCCTTCACCGACCTCTCATTGACTGGTAACCGGGAGGAACCCAATAACATCGGGTGGGGGGG